AATTTCCATCACAATTCCCGGTTACAATATGAGAATCGGTTTTGGGAGAAAAGGTACGTGTAATCGACCTGAGGATTGTGTGAGCATATGCGGGAAATACCCACCTTAAATAGGGGTAAATATTTTTAAACCTCGTACATTTTATCAACATCCTTAAAGAGGCTGTACATAATGTTGATATCTTATATAATCATTAAACGACTCGTGGTTGTTGTTTATTGTACAATAAAAAACTCGCCCCTCATGGTTTATCTCCCTGCAGTGTTGTATTGTACCCCCACTCGTCGTTTATTTCTTTAACAGTGGCCCGCTCATTTATGATAACAGGCGGGCTGTTTAATGATAATTTTATCCATTTTAACTATAAAATAATGTAAAGAGGGATGTTTTGTAGTCAGGTTGGAGCGGATGAAAATATGATAATTAATTTTGTATTTCAAATTGGTCTATGAGAATTTTGCCTTTCATGAATATGCTAGTCGTGTATAAAATTGCCTCATGGAGAACCTCACTGGCCTGTGATTATTTCTGTAACTGTAGTACTGATGATGCGGCTTTAAGCAATATTACTCTCACTCACTGACGGTGATAGTTTTGTTTCCAGCTTTCGGACACATTAATGTTTTCACTATCATTGGACATTCATGTACACAATTTCTTTTGTTAAATTATATTGAGCATGTTGAGGGTTTTATTATAAAGTACATAGGAAACTGTAACAATGGGAGATGACTCAGACTTTCAAGCTCAAGTGATAAGTTTGCTAAATGCTACTTGGAGAAAGAAGAGCATGAAAGAAGCATGACCAAAGGACTACTAACGTGCGCATGCGCTTGACCTTATGATATTACGCATGCGCACGGACAGCGTCTAAAACGCGAGAACACGAGAACGCGAGATCGCGAGAAAATGAAATGTCGCATTCTCGCGTTCTCGCGATTTCGTTATTTTGTGGCCTAATTTGACAAGTCGAGATTGCGAGATTGCGAGATTTTGGATCATGTCCAAATGTCGCTTTCTCGCGTTGTCGACTTTTGACAAAAAGTGCTATGTACCAAAAACACGAGAATGCGAGATCGCGAGAACGTGAGATTTTGGCCAAATCTCGCGTTCTCGCAATCTCGCATTCTCGTGTTTTGGGCATATTTACCTCGTTTCCAAAGGTCGAGATCGCGAGAATGCGAGATCGCGAGAATGTCCCTTACAGTATTCCATAGTATAGCATGTTTTTAACTTTGGATGCCCAATTTTGTTTCCCATGGCTGTAGTAGAGAAGCATCATATTATAACATTTTCTGGGGTATCTTGAAGATGGCATATTTAATAGCTTGACCCAGTATTTAATAACCTTTAAATAACTATTGATATACATAGGAAACCGTCCACATTCACCATATACCTTTGCGTTTTCTGTGCTAGATTTTAACCCTAGAACCTATTACATGCATATAAATGTATTTTTTCAATAACATCCAAATGTTCTAGGCCCCAAATTTCTGATGCATACAATAGAATTTGGGCTTATTTTTTGTATCAAATATTTTAAAATAAACATCATATGTAATATTGTCCAGAACTCTTAGACTTTCTAATATGCCTACAAAAAATGTCTTGGCTTGCAATGTGCATTCCTTGACCAAGTTAATCTACTTGCAAAACACACGCCTAAGTATTCATAAAATGGAACAACTTCTACAGGCTTCCCTCTGTAAAGCCATTTTTCTTTTCTTGATATGTTATCACCATTTTTAAAAACTACAACTTTGATTTTATCCATATTTACAGTAAGTTTTGACCCGTGACAATAACTCTCTAATACATGTATTTGCTTTTGCAAGCCAGGTATTGTGCTCGAGAACATAACTATATCGTCAGCGAAAAGAAGCAGAAATAACTTAATAGTTTCGGGGTGTGGTTGTATTCCATCAGTGCAATTATTTTGGATTTGATACGCTAATTTATTTATAAAAAAGGAAAATAAGAAGGGACTTAATATACACCCTTGTCGGACACCAATGCTACTTACAAAATTATCCGATATAGCGCCATTGTTCCGGACACACACCTTCACATTTGTATATAGAGAGCACAATAACTTTGCAATTTTGCTACTTAGCCCATGTCTTTGAAAGAGTGACCACAAGTTATCCCTTTTCACAGAGTCAAAAGCCTTTGCAAAATCTACGAATACAGCATATAGCTTCCCTCGTTTCACTGATAGATATCTCTGTATTATAGAATATAGGATAAAAGCATTGTCAGTGGTGGTGTATCCTCTTCTAAATTTTATCATAAGAATCCGCCCAGAAAACAAGTCTCTTAATAATAATTGAAGTAAATATTTTACTGAATGTACTTAGGAGAGTTATGCCTCTATAATTATTAACATCGCTGGTTGCGCCCTGTTTGTGAAGAGGAACAATAATGCCAACTGTCCAATTATCTGGATAATATAATCTCTCTAAAAGGATATTAAAAATAAGTTCCAAATATGGTATTAAAATATCTGAGGAATGTTTAAAAAACTCTGCTATCACATTGTCATTTCCAGATGCCTTAGTATCTTTAAGGTTGGATATGCTGCCAATAATTTCCTCTTTAGATATTGGACATTCAAGAATATCCATGTCAAATAAATTGTTATCGTCATGGCTAAATGGAACTGAAATCAGTTCCTTGAAATGCTCATACCAGGCTTGAATATCAATGTCATTTTTGCAATATCTATTTGGTTTAATGGCTTTAAGTGATGACCAAAATGTTTTAGAATTATCTATGCTTGATTCCAACAGTTTCTGTTTTTGGTCGAAATAGTCTTCTTTTTTTTTAACAAACATCGTTCTACTGATTTCTTTCTCTATTATAGTCGGTTAGTGATCCTCTGTCCTTATTCTTTTTAAAGTTATTTGAACATCTACATCGTTCCTTTTTAAGTAGCTGGCATTCGCTATCAAACTATTGTTGGTCATATTTCATTTTCTTCATATCAGATGCAGCAATAATAACAGCTTCAGTAATATACCCAATACTTTCTTCAACGTTAACAAATGCTACATCTACAGCCTTCTCCAGTAAATCATGCGCAGTCCCAGAAATAAGTTTTATTCTAAACTGTTCAGCCTTCTCTTCAACCCACACACATTTGAAGGAAGCATTGTTACGTGTATTGCGTGGCTTAGGGTCACTTACTAGAAGCGTACGTAAACTAGTCGTGACAGGAAGGTGTGATGACTCGGCTCGAGACGGTATGCCAAAGCTATGGCACATATCAAACAACTCGGACAAGGCAATAACATAATCCACCACACTCGCACCCTGGTTTCCTATAAAGAGTTAAATCTCCCACCCCAGCGCCTGACCCGGCGTCAGCGAATCAGGGGACTTCAGTAATTATAAACTGCATCCCAACACACAAGTAGAGACATTGTGTGCCCTACAGAAGGTCAGCCAATCGGGGATTTCAGAAATGATATACTGCATCCCACATAGGAACAGGCTCATTGAGTGCTATACAGAAGGTCAGCGAATCAGGGGTCCTCAGTAATGATTTATTTCATCCCACATAGGAATAGACTCAATGTGTGCCATGTAGAACGTCAGCGAAAAATGGGTCTTCAATAATGATGTACTGCAACCCACAGAACAATAGGCTAAATGTGTGCCATACAGTAGGTCAGCGAATAAGCGGTCTTCAGCTCTGGTATACTGCATCCCACACATGAATCGGCTCATTGTGTGCCATACACAAGTACAGAGAATAAGGGGCCTTCAGTTATAATCAAGTACATTTCGACATAGGAATAGGCTCATTGAGTGCCAAACAACAGGTCAGCGAATCAGGGGTCTTCAGTAATGATATACTGCATCCCACACAAGAATAGGCTCATTGAGTGCCATGCAGAAGGTCAACGAATCAGGGATCTTCAGTAAGGATATGCTGCATCCCACACAGGAATACGCTTATTATGTACCATACAAGAGGTCAGCGAATTAGGGGTCTTCAGTAATGATATGCTGCTTCCCACATAGGAATCGGCTCATTGAGTGCCAAACAGAAGGTCAGCGAATCAGGGATCTCCAGTAATGATATACTGCATCCAACACAGGCATAGGCTTATTGTGTGTCATACAGAAGATGGGCAAATCCGGGGCCTTCAGCTCTGATATACTGCATCCCACACAGGAATAGGCCCATTCTGTGCCATACAGCATGTGAGCGAATCAGGGATCTTCAGTAATGATTAAGTACATCCCCACATAGGAATATGCTCATTATGTGCCATACAAGAGGTCGGCGAATCAAGGGCCTTCCGCTCTGATATACTGCTCCCAAATAGGAATAGGCTCATTGCATGCCATAGAGAAGGTCAGCGTATCTTCAGGTCTTCAGGTATGATATACTGGATCCCACACAGGAACAAGCGCATTGTGTGCCCTATAGGACGTTCAGTGAATCAGGGGTCTTCAATAATGAAAAACGGCATCCCCACACAGGAAGAGGATCAATGTGGTCCAAACGGAACGTCAGCGAATCAGGGGTCCTCATTAATGACATACTGCATCCCAAACAGGATAGGCTCATTTTGTGCCACACAGAAGGTCAGCAATAAGGGGTCCTCGGGAATGATATACTGCTTCCCACACAGGAATAGGTTCATTGTGTGCCCTACAGGACGTCAGTGAATCAGGGGTCTTCAATAATGATATACTGCATTCCACATAGGAATAGGTTCATTGTGTGCCATTCAGAACGTCAGCGAATCAGGGGCTTTCAGTAATGATATACTCAACTCTCCAGGACGACAGGTGCTGATTCGATATATGGAGACTGGTCACATTCTATCATGTGCTTTCAACATGTCCATGTGCATATAAATACTGTTGATTTTCTCAAAACACTGGTGCATTACATTGTAACAACGTCTGGAATGTCTAATTGGTTGAAGAGTGTGTCAAGTGTGTGTGAACTCCGGAAGTAACACAATGTCATCTTTCAGCAGCAGCCTCACAGGAGTGTCACTGTACAAGCGGATGTGACGTCAACTTCCGGTGCACTGACGGCTGTCTCCAGAGCTGGTCAGGCCCCACGTGTCAGATCCGTGAGTAGAACACCATGTCTGTAGACGGATTCAGTTCCTGCCATATGTAAGTCATGATGATTGACACGTTCGTTCAGAAATATTGCCCACAGAGTTTGCAGGGCTTGTAAGGCCCAACTTGTCAGATACGTGTTGAACACTATGATCACTGACGAACGTTTCTGGAGATGTGCCAGGACGTAAGAAACCTCAACGATACAAACTTCATACACGTTTAACCTGCAGCACATTCTATAATGTAGGAAATAACATCATTTCAGATTTCAGTGTTTATAAAAGTTTTAGGTCTTTTAATTTAATGCGGTTTGCTCAAATAGCGGAAGTGACTGAGAAACAATTTTAAACATGTTTTGTGTACATTGTGCGGCGCATAATTACATGAAAGTAGCAGCATGTGAGGGGACGAAACATGAAACAGTCAGTTGCTGAAAACGTCATCCGTAGTAAACAAGCCATGCAATTGGTGAGTGACTTAATTTGGTTGAACGCAGATTAGGAAAGTATCTTGAAGTTATATAAATTGATGTGGGAGAGTGAATAATCGGAGGTTCAAGACCACTTCCTGAGACCATCTTTTGGTTTCGATAAAATCATATTCATTTCCTGTTTTTCATCTTAAACCATGTTTTTGATTTCTTCCCTTATGTATTGAATTTGATAAACAATGTATTTCCACAGTAAATGAGCGCAGTGGTCTATTCAGGCCGAAACAAGGTCAAGCCGGATTGTACTTGTGATGAACCGGCCCGTAGGCACTGTGTCCCTCTCATTATTGCGGTACAACTGCACACTTTCTTACAAATGTTATGCATTTCAGGGTTTAAATAAGATTATAAATGAACAACTAACAACACATCGAGACGTGTAATAACCGGTAGACCATAAATGACATGTTATAAATAATTGTTGAAAATGATAGAAATGCACCCACAGACTTGTCTGAAAATTGTCTCCTTTTTTATCTTCGTGGTGAACTTTCTAACAAACGTCGCATTTAAGGGGTTACATAAACATACAGCTGGACAACTAACAAAATATCGAGAATTTTAAGACCAACCAGACCAAATGTGACATGTTTTAAATAATTGTTTAAAAAAGAACAGAAATGAATGTACTTTTTGAATTAATTACCCATGAGGCTATATTTCAATTGTCCATATGTCCCAGTGACTTTTCATAAACCTATAACAAATAAAATACAAAATGCGGATTATCATGTCATGAATTAGGAAAGAAAATGGCAAAAGAATAAATAAATAATTATTACATTGTTAATTCAAATTTGATGTAAACAAATTTAAAGTTGCAGAGCGATTCAACATTTACAGATTACACCAGTATGCGCAGAACAATGATGCATGTGTAAATGTTGAATTATTGTAAGTGTTAAATCATATTTCAATTGCAATGACATGAGCTGGAAGGAAACACTTTTCATGACAACAGTTGCATTTTCCATAGATCTATTTTGAAAAATAGCGACCTGAAATTCAGTCAGTTACAAGGAGGAAACTCAGCATAAAGACTGGTATTCTTCAATTGCATTTGACTTGTTGAGAATATGATTATTTCATTACCTAAACGGAGGAATTAATTGGCCTCAGTATTCCTTCATCACACTGCACATTAAGTAAGCCCCTCCTCCACTTGAATTACGTCATATTTCCATTTCCATGTCAATTGAATCATTATTGAAAAGTACAGAGAATGAATACACGAAAAACTTCATGAATATCATGGGTACCAAAGACACTTGACAGTTGTCAGTCACCAATTAACATAAACACAAGCATTTTCCATAAATAAGTATAGAAACCTTTTTCAGTATTGTGGAACAATATCTAAAAATGATTGAAGATGAATATGAAGTTTCCGAAAATATGAGAAATGTATGAAATATGTTTTTCCTGGAGAAACCAGGCTCCTAACAGTTCTTTGCCAATGTCGCTACATATGCATGGTCGAAGACCTAGGGAGGTATCACCACAGTGTATAAGACCTGGCCCAGGAGGAGACAGGACTAGCCTAGGTTGTAGCTTAACTGAGGGGCAGAACTGACCGAGGCGTGTGTGTGTGTTGATGTGATGATGGGGGGGGGGGGGGGGGGGAGACTGGTCCCCGTGGATGAACTGGGAAAGGCAATCTACATAATACATAAACATCGTATTAAAGGGCGATACTACTTGATATATTTCCATGTATATATATATATATATATGATATCAATGATAGCCCCCCGCGGTGATAGGGCCGTCATGTCGATTGTTTTAATCGGAAGAGGTTGTTGTGATTTAACACCTCTGACTTTTCAAATTCTGCTTACTAAGGAATTCTCTATTTTTAAGGAAATCTCAGTGCAATTAATAACCTATGATTGTACAAATAATTTGTATTTAAGAATGTTTAATGACAATGACTGTGAAGAAAGTACTTTTCTGTACTTTTCGCTTCCAATGTGATACTACTGTCAAATCGACTGCGGTTGTTGTTGTGATGTAATACATCTACCTGGCCCATCAGAATTCAAGTAATTTCCAAATTCTTGGTAGAATAATGCTTTACTGAGAAACGAATCCCCATGAAATCACTAAAACACACATAATATGTTTATTACCAGGGAACATAGCTCTGAACAAACCAACACAACAAAGCAGCACTATCAATGACTGTCAGTGGGCGAGTACAGCCGCCAGGAAAGACGTGTGTGGGAACAAGACTTCCTCCCTGGCTGTGGACGGTGTGACCAGCAGCAGCTACTGGTCAGGGACCTGCATACACACCGCGACAGGCTGGACATCCGCCTGGTGGACAGTGGACCTGGGAGAGACACACCTCATCACCAATCTGACAATATTCTTCTCAAATAGACGCAAGTATACTTAACACATTATACAGTAACCAGGAAACCACAAACAAGGTAGTTACAGTTGAAGATAATGATGATGATAAAGTGAGTGAGTGAGTGAGTGGGTGAATGAGTGGAGTTAAACGCCGCTTTGAGTAGTATTCGAGTTATGTCAAGGCGTGTCAGCTTAATGTGGGAGGAAATCCCGAAGTCATATACGTCTTAGACGTTTGCCACTTTGATGAAACCCACGAGCACGGGAGTGGTGCTGACAAACCTGGAAACATGATCGGGGAGAACCAGGAATCGAACCTACGCACAGCGAATCGCGGCGACCGTGCCTCCCTCAAGGTTAGAATTTTTTAAATCCACACATAATTCTGTTGAGGGGAGGGATGTGGGTAGAATATATTAGCAGTATTATATGGGACCCGTGCTTGTCGTAAGAGGCGACTAACGGGATCGGGTGGTCAGGCTCGCTGACTCGGTTGATATCCCAATTGGGTGGATCGATGCTCAAAACACTGCTGTATATATTCTGCTACAGCTCAAATGGAGGTAAAATGTATTACTGAAATAGCTGACAATTGAAATAAGAATCGAACAAGATTAAAAATTCCTGGTGTCCTCATTAGCGGAAAGATGTCAAGTTTCAGCTTCATTGTGAAGTATCATATGGCCAGTTAGTCCATAAATGGATTTCATGGATAATTAAAAACTCTATTATCAGTTGAAAATGAATGTAGACAAGCAATATCCATGCAATCAGAATCCATTCCGCCCTTCAAGACCGTTGATCTTAGTAGCATACTTGTCCACAAACTGTCTGGGGATAAAATGTCATATTATACCCTCGTGTTGACGTCTTGATGCACATAATGCTTTGTTTCCTCCGTGGCATAGTGGATAGAGCGTCTCCCGGGGAACGGTAGATCCGGGGTTCGACCCTGACAGCGTCATACCAAAAGACGTTAAATGTTGGTACTTGTTACCCTGCCTGGCGCTCGGTATTAAGCTGATATAACAAGGACTGGGCGGAGTCAGATATACTGTGTCTGAGTGTATCATGTTAAACTGCTGCATGGTATCTCAGAAGGCTACATGAAACCGGCATAATCCGGACTGCTACAGGCGTACACACACCACACACACCACATACACACACACACGCATGCACGTCGGTTTATGAGTTGAATAATCTTGAATGGAATAATATGACCTATTTCACCGCGGTGATAGGGCCGTCAAGTCGATTGTTTTATTCGGAAGAGGTTGTTGTGATTTAACACCTCTGACTTTTCAAATTCTGCTTACTAAGGAATTCTCTATTTCTAAGGAAATCTCAGTGCAATTAATAACCTATGATTGTACAAATAATTTGTATTTAAGAATGTTTAATGACAATGACTGAGAAGAAAGTACTTTTCTGTAAACATTCGCTTCCATTGTGATACACACCACACACACCACACACACCACATACACACACACACGCATGCACGTCGGTTTATGAGTTGAATAATCTTGAACGGAATAATATGACCTTTTTCACCTAGCCTTTCCAGAACGAAGGAGAGGTTTCTTTGTACGGCTTTGGTCATCTCTGCTTTCAACCGAACCAGTCCCACCTTCCCAGGTCTTACATCTGTACGGCGTCATGCTGCAAATACTTACATTTTAAGCAAATTGTGTGTGACGGGTGCAACTGGTAGGTCAGGACATTCCTTCCCTTTCCGCGACTAGCTGGTGTCATCACATTTTCTGAGATGTTCATTTACCATCAGTGATCTAATTGATGTTATGTTGATGTATGTCCACATGAAACAGTTGATTGTCGATTCAACCAGCCGATTACCACGTTATATTCTCGTGTTGAAGCATTGATGTACATTTTTAATTGTTTGTTTCTAGAACGAATGACAGGTTTCTTGGTACGCGTAGACGATCATCCCTGCTATCAACAGGACCAGTCCCACCTTCCCCGCTCCCCTGTCAGCATCAGCTGTGACACCCCTACACGTGGACAACGTGTCACTGTTCAGCTGCCAACACTGGCCGACTCGAAATACATTCTCAATCTCTGTGAAGTGGAAATATATGGTAAGCAAAGAACATGAATGATTTATATGAAAAAACACATGCGAAATAAATATTTTATAATGATGACCCATGTGTGTGGAAGTTGAAGTTTACTTCTTCGGTAATCATTGTAATGTGATAATACTGAAAATGTTTACTATTCAGTGACAACAAAATACTAATATGTTTTTACGTCTTTGCAGAGTGTGCTGACGGGAGTTTCGGGCCTGGCTGTAGTTCCTGGTGTTTGTGTAAGAACACATCTGAGGTGTGTGACAAAGACACTGGACACTGTGAGAGTGGCTGTGCTGACGGGCACACTGGGGCGGACTGTCAGGAACGTAAGTACACATCGGGTCAGAGTCCAATGAATGAAACTATATACCAGTCTTGCACTGGAGGAAGTTATGTCTATTTGTTTCCTAAAAGGGTTACATATTACCATTATTCAACACTTTTAACAATTTTCAATAGAAAAACGGCTTGATTGGATATCAGAAAGTAAACGAGGATATCCGTGTAGGTAGACACAAGCCACAATAATTCTCGAAAACCTCCTATGGAGAGCACGTTTTGAAAATCTACATATTTAGATGGATGTGACAAATTATGGAAAGATCTTATATCAAATCCCTCGAACGAATCTTTGGTTTTACAAAATTAGAGTTTCTGAATATTTCATCTACAAACGTCCATAACAGTCGTTAAGACACAAGCAAACTTACATTATATGATATTATATTAACATTATATGAATGGATCACTGATTCAATTGACGTGATCTTCAGCCCAATCCACACGTGCCTGCCTGTGTTGTCGGGTCAGACTGCAGCTTCACGGGGACGATAAGGTACTGGAGCGAAGAGGGCAAGCGGTCAAAAGTGCCAGGCTAGCAAGAACCTGGTGCTGATATCGTATACCGCTAGTTACCGGGCTGCTATTCAGCCTCAGGTCTTTGGTCACTACTCCGCTACTCCTAGGGTACAGTTCATTCACCCTGTGCACTAAAAAAACCCACTCATCCCATTGTAGATGGCCAGATGGTGGACACACGAATACGTTCATACACCCGAAACACAACAGTCAAACTTGTGGTGTCACCCCTTGTATGTGATTTAGTTCAAATGTGCCTCTGTTCGACCAACAGGGAATGGGTACCCGATATGTGAGGTCTATATAAAGACCCTCTAGCATTCGTAGGCAGCTTGTGTTTTATACTCCAATGATAACTGGAATGCATGCACATCCACTGGTCGTGGTATAAATAAACTGTATTTCAACAGATACTAGTACCTGCATAAGTGCGGTATGTAAATGTATGATATACTACTGTCTTGGTAGAAACGTTACCGCCACTGGCGTTCCGCAGGTCGTTCCTGAGTGTGATGATAGCGTATTGCTGCAGGAAAACCCGTCTTCCCGCTGTGTGGGGAATCACTGTCGACCACCTGCATGTTGCTGGGTATCTGATTCAAACGTCTGATATCGATTCCATGCCCTGCTGTGCACGTTTCAAGCGTGCCTATGCCTACTTCTTCGGTCTTCAAACGACTTCGTTGATGCTGAGGGAGCATAAGTGCTTTCAGTTTTTGCAATCCTCAGTAGCAAATGTTGTCGTCACAATACATATAAATCAGGTTTGGTTTTCAAGCACCACGTGCACCATGACTGCCTGTCTCTGGTTGTTCATCAAGAAATTGAGGTCCTATGGAGGTAACCCAATCATTGTGTCCCGCGATATTTCAATCTTTATTTTTGGGGTATTTTTTTATGTCATCAAAACTTCACCCTCAGCAAACTTTGAGTAGTATATCTCACCCTAACAATCACTCACCTGACAACAGTATTAAAAAACATGGCATATCAAACATATGGCCGGGCACGGAACTCGAAATGCAGATAGATGGAAGGTGAGATAGATTTGAAGTTGGAATTATCAGGGGTTTTTCAATTATTTCCAAAAATGTATTTGTTTTTTCGACGAACGCTTCTGGGCTGGCTGTAGTTTCAGATGTTAGTGTATGAACATGTCTGAGGTATGAATACACAATGTCATTTAAAAAGTGGGGAAATGTAACAAATGTTACATTGGGATAACACGTTCTTAGTAAAGTACAGATTCTCGTATTTTTTTTTAAGTTGACTCCCGTCCGGGGTTCGAGCCCACACTTGCCAGAGTGAGGCACCTAATCGCCAGCACACAAAGTCAGCGATCTAACCCACTGAGCTACCGAGGCTTCCACAAAAATGAAAGTCCGACAAATGGTAGTCTAGATCACGTACTTGTGTATCCCTCTGACAAGTCTAACTTGGCACGGCTCCTATGACCGAAAGCTATGAATGCACAATGCAATTTAGAAAGTGGTCAAATGTAACAAATGTTACATTTGGGATAACACTTTTTGAGTTAAGTACAGGTTCACGTTCATTTGGGGGGATTAGGTGCCTCACTCGGACAGTGTGGGTTCGAATCCCGGGCGGGACCCCCCCCCCCCCCCCCCCACACACTAACACACACAACCCCCCCCCCCTACCGATCTAACGACCTGTGGTTTGCAGTATTTCAGTTAAAATGAGCTCTAGATAACGACATTTCTTTCCTAAAATCTGCTATTAATCTCTATATTGTCAAACTATGTTATTTTATTTACATTATTTAATTAAAAAAACAACATTCAATTAATCTGATTCCGTTACCAGAAATTTGAATAAATACACCGCTTTATCAATCTTCATCTCAAGTTGTCCCTACCCAAACACCCCTATGTCCATTGATAGTCCCTCCCAAACAGATTATATGGGTCTGTGACAACACGGATTACACTGAGGCATGGAGAACTATTCATGGTTAGACAACCCAGGCATAGTGACGCTCTGACAATTAGATGACCCGAGTTGTAACCCTATGCATCCCACCTGAAAGCAAGGCGTCCTGTGGAGTGTCATCCAACCAGCTTACCATCGGCTAGGTCACACCAAGGACAGGTTGTGCGCCAATGGCGAAACAACATGTTAACAGACGAATGAAGGTTCTGCCTCCGATTCATTGCGACGTAGCGGCGAACGGTATGCCAGTGCAACATTTTTTTACAATGATCAGTATGGGGGAGGTAGTGTCATGGTGTGAGGCGGTGTCACACAAGACAGGCGAACTGATTTGGCTATCGCCAATGAACATTTGACTGACAAGTTATATGTTGACGGAATTGTGCATCCTGTCGTTGTTCCGTTCGTAATAATTATCTGCAGAAATTGTTAACTGCAAGATGACAATGCCAGACTACATCGTGCACAGGTCGTCACATATTACCTCCGACGATATGGGATATGGACTATGGACGGGCCCACTAAGTCCCCTAACATGTCCCCAATAGGACATCTTCGGGAAGGGATGTCAATTTTACCATGGCGCACATTTTAGGCGATTTACTTCTCCAGTAACATTGGAATACAGTGACCCAAAACCATTTCATTGTGATGCCAAGGCCCTACAATGTCGTTACAGCTTGTTCCCCGGGACGCTATGGCCAGGGATGCATGGAGACGTGTGGACATTGTGATGGAGGGGATCAGAACTGTAACAAAGTAGATGGGCGCTGTACACATGTCTGCCAGGACAACTGGAGTGGAACATTGTGTAAAGGTTTGTATCAAGACTGGTTGGGCTGCTTGGCCACTCGCCTCATTAAAGAAAACACAAATGCTTGTAAGAGACAAGGTGCAAGAAACAATGTTGCTCAAACATGTAATCATTCTCTGATTTCAGTGTGAACACTTTTGGTTACAAATAACAGGAACGATCACACGATATGCGAAGTAGATGGCAGCACGAGTGAATAGCTGAATAATTATTGTCAAATGCACAAGAATCCGCAACACTTTTGTAGTTGGGTTAGTTTGCCATATTTGGAACAAACCCAATACAAGGCCTCACGTACTTTCGTGTATGGTTGACTGTTGTTGTTCCAGAGTGCAGTGACTACTGGTTTGGTGGCCGATGTGACAGAGAGTGTAAATGTAAGGATCCTTCTGAAGCGTGTGACAAGAAGACAGGTCAGTGTGACTCTGGGTGTGAAGATGGATGGACAGGACTGGACTGTCAAACACGTGAGTAGAGCAGTCGGGGTGATCACCTCCAGATGTCAAACCCATTTATCATAATTATGCTTATGATGTGTAGGTTGCAGTCACTACAAGCTTCAAAGCATGTGTGGCAATACGGAATGAGCAGAAAATACGATGGAAGTAAACCATGAGTGCATGGTTAGTGTTTTAAGAATAGTAGAGAGTTTTAAAAAAGACGACTCTTTTTGTCTGACTGTGACTTTATATATATTGGGTCACAATGAGCGGTGTGACGTCATAATATTGAAATGCGGTAAGACTTGTTTCCTTTACTGATATCCACAACATGTGTGCTTAACTGTGTTACATGTCCAATGCCTTACATACAAGTGAGTAAATTATGTTAATGTAATAAAACCAATTGAAGATCTACATCTATAATGTTTCCTTAATTCAAATCGACAATCGTCAAACCTACAGATAACATAGCGCTACATTGGAAGCTCAGTATGTTTATTTCCAAATTAACAAGCGTGTGATGCATTTAATTTTCATCATCCTGCTTTAATGATATCATCATAAATCATTATAGATTTGTTAGATTATCACAATAAACAGTCAACGGTTGTTGTAATCTCTCAATCTTAATGAAAGGCTTGGTTCATTCCTGATATACCTACTGGTTCAATACACAAGGTCGACAACCTATCACCCCTTATTCAGATTGGATGCGTCTGACAGTAACATATGTATATATTGTTGATAATTGATTATTTTCACTCAAGTCAAGTATGTTTTAATTTATCGGAATCTACAATTCAAAGGTCGTTGCACAAACTTACTTTAGTCAGTCAAACAATACCAAATCTAAGGTGTGCACTAAAATTCAGGAACAAATACTCGGTGCTTATGAAATCTGATTCAAGTGGAAAAGTGAAACATTGGTTTCGCCAGTTTCAACACATGAAATAAAAGTATGTATCCTTCTGATCTGGTCAAATGTATTCCTAATATCGACTGCCGAGTATTGTTGTAACACCTTGCATACTGCTGAATCTAGTTGTTGTACTAAATACATCTTCGGTATCTATTTGTAGAGAACATTCACGTGTGTAACATAAGTCAGGATTAGTTGTATTGTATTGGTATTGTAAGTGGTGATATAAAAAAAAAAATCGCATTGTATTTCATTGAGAAACTGATCAAAATTTGCACAAATAATTTTCATATTTCTCGTCAACTCCAAACGATAATGTCAAAGATCTATTACTAAAGGAACAGTAAAAGGGCTGTAATAGTTGGTCCTCCATCCACGGTGATGCTGATGTAACATGGCTACCCGTTGATGAACACCTACCTTTACACCTGTAATAGTCGGCCGTCCATCCACAGTGATGCTACCCGTTGATGAACACCTACCTTTACACCTGTAATAGTCGGTCCTCCATCCACGGTGATGCTGATGTAACATGACTACACGTTGATTAACACCTACCTTTACACCTGTAATAGTCGGTCCTCCATCCACGGTGATGCTGATGTAACATGGCTACCCGTTGATTAACACCTACCTTTACACCTGTAATAGTCGGTAACATAGGGTGTAATTTCACAGCGTGTCAGGACGGGACCTACGGCTTCAACTGTACATCCAGGTGTGGGAGATGTCGGGGTGGAGTGCCATGTGACAAGATAGGAGGAGAGTGTGCCAAGTGTGATCCAGGATTTATTCCCCCACTCTGTAAACGTAAGTATACGAGAATTCAGGCGCTGCCATATTTTTGGATGGTATGCAAATTAAAGGTTAGCTTCACTTTTAATGCAAGTCATTTGCTAGAAAAATCAAGTTTACAAATCTATATACTTAGTGTTTCAACTGATGTAAATCGCTTGTGCAAGCCTTCTTAGACAGCGCCAAGTCGCCTGGGAAACGGATATATTTTATCAGGAGATAACGGAACAACATGTTTCAGAATAAATATACATGAGGTGTTGACTTTAATCAAAACGTTTGTGTCTGAAATATATTTGGTATGAAAAAAATGTCAAATGTCAAAACTATATTTTTACCACCCTCCACTGTATGAGTACTACATTTAGGTATGATGTGCGTTGAAGACAAAGTCAGCTGGTTAAACTAGAACACTTAGAAACTAAACATACTGTACCTTTATATCAACACAGTTGAATGTCTTGTTCACAACATAATAATCTGGTGTTTTGTCGACCTTCACAAGATATTATTTATTTTATTGCTGAACGATTTTTAATATTTCATGTTGAAATGGTAATGATATGCATAAAACGTAACGATACATTACGTTATTCCAGAGTGCAAAGATGGTCACTTCGGAGTCAACTGTACCCAGTCCTGTCGCTGCCTGAATGTGACGGAGATCTGTGACAAGACCACGGGGGAGTGCAGGAGCGGATGTGAGGCAGGCAGAACAGGGAGGGGCTGTCAGCGATGTGAGTTTACATAACGGCACTACATGTCGTGATACCCTGTAGTCAGGCAGGCAGAACAGGGAGGGGATGTCAGCAATGTGAGTTTACATAACGGCACTACATGTTGTGATACCCTGTAGTCAGGGAGGCAGAACAGGGAGGGGATGTCAGCAATGTGAGTTTACATAACGGCACTACATGTTGTGATACCCTGTAGTCAGGCAGGAAGAACAGGGAGAGACTATCAGCAATGTGAGTTTACATAACGGCACTACATGTTGTGATATCCTGTAGTCAGGCAGGCAGAACAGGGAGGGGATGTCAGCAACGTGAGTTTACATAACGGCACTACATGTTGTGATACCCTGTAGTCAGGCAGGCAGAACAGGGAGGGGATGTCAACAATGTGAGTTTACATAACGGCACTACATGTTGTGATATCCTGTAGTCAGGCAGGCAGAACAGGGAGGGGATGTCAGCAATGTGAGTTTACATAACGGCACTACAAATTGTGATACCCTGTAGTCAGGCAGGCAGAACAGGGAGGGGATGTCAGCAATGTCAGTTTACATAACAGCAATACAGGTTGTGATATCCTGTAGTCAGGTAGGCAGAACAGGGAGGGGATGTTAGCAACGTGAGTTTACATAACGGCACTACATGTTGTGATACCCTGTAGTCAGGCAGGTAGAACAGGGAGGGACTGTCAGCAATGTGAGTTTACATAACGGCACTTCATGTTGTGATATCCTGTAGTCAGACAGGCAGAACAGGGAGGGGATGTCAGCAATGTGAGTTTACACAACGGCACTACATGTTGTGATATCCTGTAGTCAGGCAGACAGAACAGGGAGGGGATGTCAGCAATGTCAGTTTACATAACGGCACTACATGTTGTGATATCCTGTAGTCAGGCAGGCAGAACAGGGAGGGGATGTCAGCAACGTGAGTTTTCATAACGGCACTACATGTCATGATGCCCTGTAGTCAGGCAGGCAGAACAGGGAGGGGATGTCACCAATGTGAGTTTACATAACGGCACTACATGTTGTGATATCCTGTAGTCAGGTAGGCAGAACAGGGAGGGGATGTCAGCAATGTGAGTTTACATAACGGCACTACATGTTGTGATATCCCGTTGACAGGCAGGCAGAAGAGGGAGGGGCTGTCAGCAATGTGAGTTTACATAACGGCACTACATATTGATATCACTGAAGGATGTTGTGCGATAATTGCCGACAAACATTGCCCAAATGCATCTACATCTGAATGTCAGTGCAAATGTACAGGCCTCGTTTGCCATATTGGTCATTATTTTAAATGCATAAAATGTACTTGATATCCTCGAACTTTGAAAAGAAATAGCTATAGCATCCAGCATAAGTTTATGGAACCGTAGTGATATATTCGTGTCCATGTTAGTGTTTACAAATTTCCGTACTGTATACAGATAGATCTGTTTTGTTTCAAGTATGCGAGACCGGCAGTTACGGCCTGAAGTGTGAAGGGCGGTGTGGTCAGTGTGCAGGAAGGCATCTTAGATCCACGTCCATTTCGGTGTTCACCATTTCCCTTGTTGTATTCAGATAGATATGTTTTGTTTCAAGTATGCGAGTCCGGCAGTTACGGCCTGAGGTGTGAAGGGCGGTGTGGTCAGTGTGCAGGTGGTCACAAGAACTGCAGTCCCTACAACGGCTCCTGTCACCTTGGTTGTGAGGGCAACTGGAGAGGAAGGCGTTGTGGAGGTGAGTCAACTTTTGTCACAAGATGGTTGGTTGGTTTGTTGTTTTACGCCGTATTCAGCAATATTCCAGCTATATGACGGCGGTCTGTAAAATATCGGATCTGGAGCAGACAATCCAGTGATTGATATCATGAGCATCGATCCACGCAGTTGGGATCGATGACATGCATCGACCAAGTCAGCGAGCCTGACCACCCGATCCCGTTAGTCGCCTCTTACGACAAGCATAGTCGCCTTTTACTGTCACAAGATGTGTGTACTCTGATTGCCCAGGACAGGACCGTGAAGCCCTAATCATTAGTGACACCTAGTGTTGTACAATACACAATATATACAATGTACTGCCACTAAGTGTAACATACTATGCATTCCACGATAAAAGATTGCTGGGAATCACATTGGACGACACGCATGACCAAATTACCACATGTTCTGAAATGTGTCCACAAGAACAAAACACAGGTATTTTACCTACTACATCTCGCACGATATGAGTGAGTGAGTTGGGTTAACGCCGCTTTGTACAGTATTCGGTTGTTTCACAGCGTGTCAGCTTAATGTGGGAGGAAAGTCTGGACTTATGCAGGTTTACCACTTTGGTGACACCCATGAGCACGGGTATAGTGCTGAAAAGCCTAGATCCCACAATCATAGGTTTCTGGCGTGCGAAAGGGACGAACTCTGCACAGTGAATTGCGTCGCCAGCTGTGGGCCATCTCTGCCCCCTCGTAAGAAATAGGGGCGGTCGGGTAGCCTAGTGGTTAAAGCGTTTGCTCGTCACGCCGAAGACCAGGGTTCGATTCCCGACATGGGTACAATGTGTGAAGCCCATTTCTGGTGTCCCCCGCCGTGATATTGCTGGAATATTGCTAAAAGCGGCGTAAAACCATACTCATTCACTCACTCGTAAGAAATAAAAGCAACGTTCTGTCTACCTCTTTGATTTGCAATTGTATTTGTCAATGGTGCCACAAATTGGTCATCAAAAGTTCCGAGCTTACTCTAGGGTGAATGTTATACAGTGAAATTACATTGTCTGGTCCAGACATCATAGCTTGAATACTACCCAGAGCGGCGTTAAACAACAAACAAAACAAAATTACGTTTAAGAGTCCGATACCATGGATGCACATTCTATATTTTCGGTTTACTAATTAACAGTTCACTGCACAAATTGCCGCATGGAAAATGAAACAAAATCACTTAAAATGTGTAAGACTTCATTCATGTCCGATCCATCCTTGTGTCTATACGAATACGAACAAAATAAATTAGTACACAACTACAAACCAGAGCAAACAATACATATTCTGACAAACTGAATAAATGTCTTACAGGAATTCCAACTGTGACACTCATGTGACAGGCAGTAAAACAAATTCGAACCATTAAAAAAAATATAGGTTAATGATTTAGTTTTAGTTTTTTTAGAACCAACCCTGAAAGAATTTCTGAACAAAAACGTGACCCTAATAGAATACAACGCGTCGCCTTAGAAAAAAGACTATTTGCTCAATTTTGGAGATATAGTCTTTTTCGTCTGTGCGTACTGTGTAACAATGTAAACGAACTGTGTTTACCACGCAGAGTGTAAGGACCGTTTCTATGGGGCTCAGTGCAGCTATAGATGTGGACGGTGTCGTAGTAACGCCATCTGCAGCAAAACGTCAGGCGACTGCCCGGATGGATGTGAACCAGGATGGCAAGGGATGACATGTGACCAAGGTAACCAGGTTGTTTGACTTTCACATTACACCCACTTGCTTCAAACAAATCAAGGTACATTTTGCATTTTAATTATTTTTACACATGTTTCTGTACCTTATTGTGCTTACAGTCCACTGTGACCCGTGTACCGTTGTGTGGCCTGTAATGTGACCTTCCAATGCTGTATCAGTACTTTGTACATGGAACTGTTTGTTTTTGTCGAATCGAATTAAATTTTGTATTCCAACCCAAATAAGCATTCTACTACAGGGTGAAAGTTGAATGGCAGGATATTGTATGTTAGTTACAACTAAGATGAGTGTTACCTTTTTCATTTTTGAGTCCCTCAACAGCTTCACTGTTGTTGACAGAATGTGACGGAGACAGATATGGTGACGGGTGTTCTGAGACTTGTGGTCAGTGTGCAGGGAAGTGCAGCCCTGTTACCGGAACATGTGATCAGGAGGGTTGCAGTGATGGGTGGATGGGGCAGACATGTGACGAAGGTGAGTGACCTGTAGCCAGGGAGGGTGGACGAGGTAGAGATGTGACGTATGTATGTGCCCTGTAGTCAGGGAGGGTGGACGGGGCAGACATGTGACGTAGGTGAGTGACCTGTAGTCAGTCAGGGAGGGTGGACGGGGCAGAGATGTGACGTAGGTGAGTGACCTGTAGTCAGTCAGGGAGGGTGGACGGGGCAGAGATGTGACGTAGGTGAGTGACCTGTAGTCAGTCAGGGAGGGTGGACGAGGTAGAGATGTGACGTAGGTAAGTGACCTGTAGTCAGGGAGAGTGGACGGGGCAGCGATGTGACGTAGGTAAGTGACCTGTAGTCAGGGAGGGTGGACGGGGCAGAGATGTGACGTAGGTAAGTGACCTGTAGTCAGGGAGAGTGGACGGGGCAGCGATGTGACGTAGGTTAGTAACCTGTAGTCAGGGAGGGTGGACAGGGGAGCGATGTGACGTAGGTAAGTAACCTGTAGTCAGGGAGAGTGGACGGGGCAGAGATGTGACGTAGGTTAGTAACCTGTAGTCAGGGAGGGTGGACGGGGCAGCGATGTGACGTAGGTAAGTGACCTGTAGTCAGGGAGAGTGGACGGGGCAGAGATGTGACGTAGGTTAGTAACCTGTAGTCAGGGAGGGTGGACGGGGCAGCGATGTGACATAGGTGAGTGACCTGTAGTCAGGGAGAGTGGACGGGCCAGAGATGTGACGTAGGTAAGTGACCTGTAGTCAGGGAGAGTGGACGGGGCAGAGATGTGACGTAGGTTAGTAACCTGTAGTCAGGGCGGGTGGACAAGGCAGAGATGTGAGATAGGTGAGTGACCTGAAGTCAGGGCGGGTGGAGAAGGCAGAGATGTGACATAGGTGAGTGACCTGTAGTCAGGGAGAGTGGACGAGGCAGAGATGTGACGTAGGTGAGTGACCTGTAGCCAGGGAGAGTGGACGGGGCTGAGATGTGACATAGGTGAGTGACCTATAGTCAGGGAGGTGGACAGAGCAGAGATTCGACGTAGGTAATTGACCTGTAGTCAGGGAGGGTGGACGGGGCAGAGATGTGACGTAGGTAAGTAACCTGTAGCCAGGGAGGGTAGACGGGGCAGAGATGTGACGTAGGTAAGTAACCCGTAGCCAGGGAGGGTAGACGGGGCAGAGATGTGACGTAGGTGAGTGACCTGTAGCCAGGGAGAGTGGACGGGGAAGAGATGTGACGTAGGTAATTGACCTGTAGCCAGGGAGAGTGGACGGGGCAGAGATGTGACGTAGGTGAGTGACCTGTAGCCAGGGAGGGTAGACAAGGCAGACATGTGACGTAGGTGAGTGACCTGTAGTCAGTCAGGGAGGGTGGACGGGGCAGAGATGTGACCTAGGTGAGTGACCTGTAGTCAGTCAGGGAGGGTGGACGGGGCAGAGATGTGACGTAGGTGAGTGACCTGTAGTCAGTCAGGGAGGGTGGACGAGGTAGAGATGTGACGTAGGTAAGTGACCTGTAGTCAGGGAGAGTGGACGGGGCAGCGATGTGACGTAGGTAAGTGACCTGTAGTCAGGGAGGGTGGACGGGGCAGAGATGTGACGTAGGTAAGTGACCTGTAGTCAGGGAGAGTGGACGGGGCAGCGATGTGACGTAGGTTAGTAACCTGTAGTCAGGGAGGGTGGACAGGGGAGCGATGTGACGTAGGTAAGTAACTTGTAGTCAGGGAGAGTGGACGGGGCAGAGATGTGACGTAGGTTAGTAACCTGTAGTCAGGGAGGGTGGACGGGGCAGCGATGTAACGTAGGTAAGTGACCTGTAGTCAGGGAGAGTGGACGGGGCAGAGATGTGACGTAGGTTAGTAACCTGTAGTCAGGGAGGGTGGACGGGGCAGCGATGTGACATAGGTGAGTGACCTGTAGTCAGGGAGAGTGGACGGGGCAGAGATGTGACGTAGGTTAGTAACCTGTAGTCAGGGCGGGTGGACAAGGCAGAGATGTGAGATAGGTGAGTGACCTGAAGTCAGGGCGGGTGGAGAAGGCAGAGATGTGACATAGGTGAGTGACCTGTAGTCAGGGAGAGTGGACGAGGCAGAGATGTGACGTAGGTGAGTGACCTGTAGCCAGGTAGAGTGGACGGGGCTGATATGTGACGTAGGTGAGTGACCTATAGTCAGGGAGGTGGACAGAGCAGAGATTCGACGTAGGTAATTGACCTGTAGTCAGGGAGGGTGGACGGGGCAGAGATGTGACGTAGGTAAGTAACCTGTAGCCAGGGAGGGTAGACGGGGCAGAGATGTGACGTAGGTGAGTGATCTGTAGCCAGGGAGGGTGGACGGGGCAGCGATGTGACGTAGGTAAGTAACCTGTAGCCAGGGAGAGTGGACGGGGCTGAGATGTGACGTAGGTGAGTGACCTATAGTCAGGGAGGTGGACAGAGCAGAGATTCGACGTAGGTAATTGACCTGTAGTCAGGGAGGGTGGACGGGGCAGAGATGTGACGTAGGTAAGTAACCTGTAGCCAGGGAGGGTAGACGGGGCTGAGATGTGACGTAGGTAAGTAACCCGTAGCCAGGGAGGGTAGACGGGGCAGAGATGTGACGTAGGTGAGTGATCTGTAGCCAGGGAGGGTGGACGGGGCAGCGATGTGACGTAGGTAAGTAACCTGTAGTCAGGGAGAGTGGACGGGGCAGAGATGTGACGTAGGTTAGTAACCTGTAGTCAGGGAGGGTGGACGGGGCTGAGATGTGACGTAGGTGAGTAACCTGTAGTCAGGGAGAGTGGACGGGGCAGAGATGTGACGTAGGTAAGTGACCTGTAGTCAGGGAGAGTGGACGGGGCAGAGATGTGACGTAGGTTAGTAACCTGTAGTCAGGGCGGGTGGACAAGGCAGAGATGTGAGATAGGTGAGTGACCTGAAGTCAGGGCGGGTGGAGAAGGCAGAGATGTGACATAGGTGAGTGACCTGTAGTCAGGGAGAGTGGACGAGGCAGAGATGTGACGTAGGTGAGTGACCTGTAGCCAGGGAGAGTGGACGGGGCTGAGATTCGACGTAGGTAATTGACCTGTAGTCAGGGAGGGTGGACGGGGCAGAGATGTGACGTAGGTAAGTAACCTGTAGCCAGGGAGGGTAGACGGGGCAGAGATGTGACGTAGGTAAGTAACCCGTAGCCAGGGAGGGTAGACGGGGCAGAGATGTGACGTAGGTGAGTGACCTGTAGCCAGGGAGAGTGGACGGGGAAGAGATGTGACGTAGGTAATTGACCTGTAGCCAGGGAGAGTGGATGGGGCAGAGATGTGACGTAGGTGAGTGACCTGTAGCCAGGGAGGGTAGACAAGGCAGACATGTGACGTAGGTGAGTGACCTGTAGTCAGGGAGGTGGACAGAGCAGAGATTCGACGTAGTTAATTGACCTGTAGTCAGGGAGGGTGGACAGAGCAGAGATGTGACGGTGGAAGTACACGGCAGCACGAGTGACTAGCTGAATACTTATTGTCAAATGCACAGGAACCCACAACGTTTTGTAGTTTGGTTTTGTAGTTTTGGTCAGGATACGTTTACCTTTTTTGTATCATACACCTTTACACCTTTACACCAATTTGTATCAGTATTTGGTAGTGATTAATAACCACGCGCTCATGGTATTGTCGGAATCGTACAATGGCATTTATACCACCGACAAAACACGTCTGGCAGGACTCCTTGAGTGGAACATTGTGTAAAGGTTTGTGTGAAACTTTGACTTGCCTCCTTGGCCATGTAGCTCATTACAAGAAAATAACTATTGTCTTTATATATGACAAGGTGACAAATATTTTAGGACACACACTTATTTTTTGTCAATGTTAGATAAAAAAAAACAATTTGCATTTGCAACTACAAATCTATAATGATAATTGAATTTATTTATCTGAAGAAGCTTCCCGAAACCGTGAAATTTTTCAGAACAGTGAGAAGCAGAGAACCTGTGGTTTATATGTAAGAAGCGAATAGGTATCAAAATCGTACTTGTCAAGCATATTGAAAAATGTCAGGTCGAAAAGGCCTCGAATCGCTTCTCGCTGCTCTTGTATATGTACGACCAGCCTCCAAATACTGTCCCATGCAGAAACTTCTCGAACGATAAAGCCTGTCATGTTCACGCAAGGAGGTCTGGATAAATCCCAATTCCCCGTACAAAACCATCTGGAAAGTTCCACTCGCTTCTGTCAACCGCTGTTCAAATCTGACAGCACTTGATATTTTGTTATCAGCAGCCCATTCCTTTGATGCTACTGATAAACGCAAACACACTCACAACAGTCTCCACCGCCACTCAAATTAGCCACACCTAAAACTATTCAAATAAGTCGAACTTCGTTGTGTCCAACTAGGATGTGCCGAATTCTCGTTTGCCTCAATAGCTCACCTTCCGATCCCAGCGAATTTCTAAAATATTTATCATCATTTATACTTGGATCTGTCGAACTGGATTACCGGTTGTTTCGAACTCATTTGGGAGTCATATATGTATAAAGCATAAAGTTGACCTAAGAATGCTAAAACGTAACAATACATTACGTTATTCCAGAGTGCAGAGATGGTCACTTCGGAGTCAACTGTACCCAGTCCTGTCTCTGCCTGAATGTGACGGAGATCTGTGACAAGACCACGGGGGAGTGCAGGAGCGGCTGTGAGGCAGGCAGAACAGGTAGGGGCTGTCAGCGATGTGAGTTTACATAACGGCACTACATGTTGTGATACCCTGTAGTCAGACAGGCAGAACAGGGAGGGGATGTCAGCAATGTGAGTTTACATAACGGCACTACATGTTGTGATACCCTGTAGTCAGACAGGCAGAACAGGGAGGGGATGTCAGCAATGTGAGTTTACATAACGGCACTACATGTTGTGATACCCTGTAGTCAGACAGGCAGAAGAGGGAGGGATGTCAGCAATGTGAGTTTACATAACGGCACTACATGTTGTGATACCCTGTAGTCAGGCAGGCAGAACAGGGAGGGACTGTCAGCAATGTGAGTTTACATAACGGCACTACATGTTGTGATACCCTGTAGTCAGACAGGCAGAACAGGGAGGGGATGTCAGCAATGTGAGTTTACATAACGGCACTACATGTTGTGATACCCTGTAGTCAGGCAGGCAGAACAGGGAGGGGCTGTCAGCAATGTGAGTTTACATAACGGCACTACATGTTGTGATACCCTGTAGTCAGGCAGGCAGAACAGGGAGTGACTGTCAGCAATGTGAGTTTACATAACGGCACTACATGTTGTGATACCCTGTAGTCAGGCAGGCAGAACAGGGAGGGGATGTCACCAATGTGAGTTTACATAACGGCACTACATGCTGTGATACCCTGTAGTCAGGCAGGCAGAACAGGGAGGGACTGTCAGCAATGTGAGTTTACATAACGGCACTACATGTTGTGATACCCTGTAGTCAGACAGGCAGAAGAGGGAGGGATGTCAGCAATGTGAGTTTACATAACGGCACTACATGTTGTGATACCCTGTAGTCAGACAGGCAGAAGAGGGAGGGATGTCAGCAATGTGAGTTTACATAACGGCACTACATGTTGTGATACCCTGTAGTCAGGGAGGCAGAACAGGGAGGGGCTGTCAGCGATGTGAGTTTACATAACGGCACTACATGTTGTGATACCCTGTAGTCAGGCAGGCAGAACAGGGAGGGGATGTAAGCAATGTGAGTTTACATAACGGCACTACATGTTGTGATACCCTGTAGTCAGGCAGGCAGAACAGGGAGGGGATGTAAGCAATGTGAGTTTACATAACGGCACTACATGTTGTGATACCCTGTAGTCAGGTAGGCAGAACAGGGAGGGGATGTCAGCAATGTGAGTTTACATAACGGCACTACATGTTGTGATACCCTGTAGTCAGGCAGGCAGAACAGGGAGTGACTGTCAGCAATGTGAGTTTACATAACGGCACTACATGCTGTGATACCCTGTAGTCAGGCAGGCAGAACAGCGAGGGGCTGTCAGTTTACATAACGGCACTACATGCTGTGATATCCTGTAGTCAGGCAGGCAGAACAGCGAGGGGCTGTCAGTTTACATAACGGCACTACTACACTATAACATCCAGCATTAGTTTATGGAACTGAAAAGTCACATTCGTGTCCATGCATGAACTGCAGTCCCAACAACGGCTCCTGTCACCTTGCTTGTGAGTTCAACTGGAGAGGTAGGCGTTGTGGAGGTGAGTCAGCTTTTGTCACCAGTTGTGTGTACTCTGATTGTCCAGGGCAGGACCGTGAAGCCCTAATCATTATTGCACATGAAAACTATAAGAATAGAAATAACAAGGGGCCGTTTGTCCAGCTGGTACGAGTAATCCTGTCTAACATGTTACAAAAGATTACCTAATAAACAATGAAATCGTAATTTCATAGATCATTAAAAGTGGTCCGTGTGGTTCGTGTGAAGGGGGAGATGAGAACTGCATCTCCACTCACGGGTCCTGTGTCCGGGATGTAAAAAACACTTGACAGGTGGTTAACTTACATGTTGTTGTTTGTTTGTTGTTTAACGCCGCATTCTGCAATATTACAGCTATAAGACGGCGGTCTGTAAATAATCGAGTCATAATCAGAGAATCCAGTGATTGACATCATGGGCATCGATCCACGCAGTTGGGACCGATGACATGCATCAACCAAGGCAGCGAGCCTGACTACCCGATCCCGTTAGTCGCCTCTTTCGACAAGCATAGTCGCCTTAACTTACATGTACACATTCTGGCGCCTTTAGTGATTGTCCTGTTTGCAATAAGTAGAAATGTCAGTGGCATTACTACTCGTATTCCCAGTGTCCCGAGTGCTAAAATACAAGCAACACGTTCTGCTTAAACAGAAGGTTGTACAGCAACAAGTGCAGCACCTGCCGACATTCAGTTATTGTTATTGATGATGGCTCATGAGTGAGTGAGTGAGTGAGTATTTGAGTGAGTGAGTGAGTATTGTTTTACGCCGCTTTTAGCAATATTCCAGCAATATCACGGCAGGGGGGACACCAAAAATGGGCTTCACACATTGTACCCATGTGGGGGATCGAACCCGTGTCTTCGGTGTGACGGGCGAACTCTTTAACCACTAGGCTACCCCCAGCTCTTGTATTAGATTATTTCATGGTTATAAAAGCCGACTAAATAGCATGTATCGCTTCCATGTTAGTTGGGCACTTCGGTGATAGATATGTGGACAGAATAGCTTTGATACTTGGAAGTTCTTAATTCCACCTAAAAAAATGTTTGTCACAACTATTCCCATTTTCCGCTCCAATGTTTGCCATTTCTAATAATTGAACCTTTTCTTGCCTAAAACATGAATAATAATCATTTGTAAAACTATTAAAATGACTATATTTTATGGAAACTGGGAACTGTTTCTGAATCAATGTTGTTTGACTATATGTCACTCTTTTTCAGGTATCAGAAATACTGACTCCAAACTTATAATTCCTGTGGTGGGATCCTGTGTGGCAATAATAATCATCATCATCGCAGGAAATGTTGCTGTAACAATGTACATCCTCAGGTAATATGATATATTGACTATCCTTGTGGGTACCATCAAGTAGTGATGTTATCAAAGTATTGATTTCACTCATTCACCAATTAACAAAAATTAATTTAAAACTAAATGCTTATAATATTTTATATGTTTATTTGGCTTCTGAAATAGAAAACCCAAAACGCAAATGTGATCTTTCAAATTACATATGGATATGTTTTACAAAATATGAAACAAAACATGAAATAAATCTCAGTTGTCATCGTCACTGCAAACTTAGGTTTGACGGACATTGATCTTTAAGAAGAGTCAGCATTTGTTGTCCCTCGTGTTTTGAACAACGGGGGGATAAAACGATCAGCATGTTTGTCTCTCCGTATCTGTTTTTCGTTTCCGGAGCGGAACTTCCAAACCGTTGAATATTTCTCGATGAAACTTTCTATACAGATCAGTTTAGTGATAAACTGATGCCTTTTGATGATTTGGGGATTGTATTTTATTGTGCATTTCTTGTTGTTTTCGTGACTTTACTGAAAATGATGTGCTCGTTTCCGGTGAAGAACTCCAAAACCATTGAATATTTCTTGATGAAACTTGCTCCACAGATCAGTCTATAGTTAACTGGTGCCTTTTGATTATTTGGGAAATTGAAAAATACTGAACTGAACTGAAGGTATCAAACAGCAATGAACTAAAAAATGGTGTATAAGTAGCCAAGCTCCTTTTCCGAGTGAGTGAGTGAGTGAGTTGGGTTTAACGCCGCCTTTAACAGTATTCCCGTTATATCGCGGCGTGTCAGCTTAATGTGGGAGGAAAGCCCGAAGTGATGCAGGTCGTTTACCACTTCGGTGAAACCCACTAGCACGGGTATATATGTATGGTGCTGACAAAACCTAGAAACATAGTCAGGGCGAACCGGGATTCGAACCCACATTCATAGGTTTTTGGCGTGCCCAACTCTGCACAGAACACGTCCCATTTTAATTCTGGAAACCCAAAAGACCAGAAACTCTACGGTCTTTGCCCAGTCTCGGTTAAAGGTATTTACAAAATTAAACATGCCGTTTTCATGGGAACATACCGAGGAAGAAAAAATGAAAAGAAAATTGTTTAAAAACTCAATATTTAGACTATGTCGCCCATGGGCCTGCCCATGGGCGAAGTCTGGCCCATGGGTAGGCCCATGGGCAGGCCCATGGGCGAGAATATGTTCCTTTACTTAAAACTCATGTTTTTGTTTCGCAAATACATTTAATGTATTCATTCAAGTATCATGACACAAAATTTAACTCATTTTAACTTAATTCAACGATTTTATAGCGATATTGAAATATTTCGCCCATGGGCGAGAAAAAGGTTTGGCCCATGGGCGAGAATATGTTCCTTTACTTAAAACTCATGATTTTGTTTCGCAAATACATTAAATGTATTTATTGAAGTATCATGACACAAAATTTAACTCATTTTAACTTAATTCAACTATTTTATAGCGATATTGAAATATTTCGCCCATGGGCGAGAAAAAGGTTTGGCCCATGGGCAGGCCCATGGGCGAGAACATGTTCCTTTACTCAAAACTCATGTTTTTGTTTCGCAAATACGTTCAATGTATTTATTCAAGTATCGTGACACAAAATGTAACTATTTTTTACTTAATTCAACTATTTTACGGCGTTATTAAAATATTTCGCCCATGTTTTCGTCAGTCCCTTTCAAGCATCAACTAACTGTTTGCAAAGTATATTGTATCATGTGAAATATACTTTATATTATATCATTACATTACTATTTAAAAAGGGCATTTGGTTGGATGTTTCCTTTAGTTCTACAAATTTCACCTGTTTTACATATTGTAGCGATCTTTAATGAACCCGGCCTTACCTCTCAAAACGTTTTGACAGTTTATCATACGAATTCATGTGCGTGTACTCCAATTCATTGGAGTTATTTTCCACAACATTAAATTTTAGTTAGTTTCTATTTCATTTCCCATTTTATGTCCCGTTGATACATCACACTGGGCAATTACGTGACACTAGGTATGCAATATACAGGTACGTGTGCGCGTATTTTAATGAAAAAAACTATTCGTCTTTTATTGCATAACGTTTGGCTGAATATCTTAAATTATAACGAAATCTCGAAATAATTATTTAATTACATGCGGTTTCGAACTGACCAGTGGGAATTATGTTTCAATGCGATTGAGGAAAACGTGAGTGAATATTGTGACACTAAAGCAACTTTTAACTGCATTGTCACTTTTGGTATGAAAATGGTAACAGTTCAGAAAAAACAACAGCCTTCTTATGATAATTCTCATTAGTACGTTGTATCTAATTACAGTGTCGGCCTTATTTACAGATGATTCTACAATACCTGCTCTCGGTCAATTACGATCTACCACACCACGCGTGAATAAACAGTTATGCAGGTGTTGCTGTGGGCAAATACCTAGCCTGAAAATGTTTATTTTTTTTAGGATACATGTTTTACAAATGTTCGTTGATATTTGGATATATTAAGCACAAAGACAAAAAAATGTTTATGAAAGATGAATTAGTGCCTTGATATATTCATCGAGATGTGTATCATCGTTTATTCAACGCGAACGAATCTTGTATTTTCTCCGCGATCCTGAAATGTATCATCGTTTAATTGGTCATTCAATAAACGTATGATTGGAGGAGATATCAAAGGAGCCGCCCAATATACACAGTGTCGTCCGGTGAACTACCACCCCACCCTGTCCATTAGAGTTATGTAATCGGTACACAAATATATTTGATGCGGTGTCAGTGCGGAAGGAGTTTGAATTACGTCCGCCACTTGCCACTGAAATCCTCAAAGTATAGAAACAGTAAACAAGGTCAATCCGTACTAATTACCTAGTGACGAACGTAACAACGACTGTCAATAGGGAAAATGGTGAAAACAAATTGAAATAGATTTTAATAAAACATTATTGTACTAAAGTTGCCTAAAATTGTTTGACCGTGTTATGTGTGTTGTAAACTGACGAATAGCAAGTAATTGTCATGCTGTACGCATGGTTCCATATACAAATTCAGTTATACAACCGGTATGAAACTGAGAACTGAGATACCAAGTACAACCTGCATTCACACACGGAAGCAATATACTTGTGTGTATGCCCTATCCTCTAAAAAATGTATCACTAAAGTATTTGCATTGTTATAAATATAGTAATGATAAAACTTGGTAATTTGGTAGGTCTCCGACAGATATGATTTTCAGTTTTTTACACCTTTGATTGATACGGATTGCGTACCTGTAGTCTAGTCACTGTCTCTAATGTATCTGCTTGTTAGAAATTTCAAATGTCTTGTTATAGCACTGTTCCTAAAATACGGCAGTTTCTTTTATCGGGTATAAATAGTTGATTCGTATTGTCACGCAGTCATTTTTACTTGATCGAATGATTTCCACCAAAAATTACGGCAGAGAGTTTTATTATATTTTTAGAAGATTTTAGAAGATGCTTACATCACTGTATCTCAGAACATAAAACTGATAACATTCAAACATGTAATTAGTACACAGTTAATTGTTACATATAATTTCCTGCATATTCCTTTTTGAACAAAAAGCCTACATGTATACTGATATCGGTGTCCACTGTTAAAAGGGTATTAGTGCAGTCAGCCATGGTAAATGGAGAGACAATAATAAGGTGATTAGTTATAGTCTGTTGCAGAATATGCGGTATAAGTGTAGTCATTTATACATATACACATTACACATATACAGATAAAATACACGATATGATGCAGTGCAAGAACAAATTAAGATACGGTTTCTATTAAAAATAATTATACGATTTTGGATTTAATTAGCATGTTTAAATTTTCAGGCCAACACGGCTGAGATACAGCATCGGCATACTCAACTGGAGTTGTTTTCTGCCGGTCGTAAGTTCATTGTTTGACTGAGCACACTCGTGTCGGGGTTGCGATATTTTCTTCTCTTTGTTGGCAGCCTGCCACCGGTCTGAATTTTGAGAAAGGTCTGAGCATGGGACTGTTCATTACTTCTTAATGATGTCTACAAGCTTACAAACTTGTAGATGTTGGGTGCGGTTAGGACCAAACTTTTTCAGCTCAGAGTGTTAGTGGTCCTGGAACCCATAGTGTCAAACAGGTTCTGCACAAAACGTCCATCAGATTCTACTGTTCAACAACATTGTCACTGAATTTCAGAACTCTGGCATGATATAATAATCAAGGATTTCGAAGGTGAACGAGGGGAAAGGCAGACGCACGTGGATTTACCCTCAGGTTATTATTGTCTGGAGTTCACATTTTGGGGCATTTCATATACTAATTGAACAGAGTTCACCTGCACATGTCCACTTTAGTGATACAGACTGTAACCAAAAATGCAATGAGCCGTAGCTCTTAATCCCTTATAACAACGGTAACAACAACCAGGGTGAGGACACAGTAAGGTTAAACCGTGTCCAACAGACAATCTGAGGTGGCTATCTCCCATCAAGTCAGCTCTGTTTTTAAGCGCATAGTTATGTTTTTACATATTGAAATAAAAGGAATGAAAAAAATTATATTTAACAAACCTACACATTACCAAATACAAAACTTTATAACCCTTTCTAGACTTCGTTCCAATTAACCTGGATCATTCAACTCGCTCGCGAAGGTCGTATGCGACTTTAAAGTGAATACGTCTACAGTGTACAAGTAACTTTTAACTGTATCATATATACTCATGATAAGCAATTATTTTCGTCCCTAATCCGAATGAGCACATTCTGAGGCTAAATCTGCAAAAGGACAGATAAAATATTTCTTTGTACAATGCAAACGATACAAACGTAGCGGCTGATAATAGAGACAATGATTTAATAATCTGCAATATATCAAGTGTTCTCGTTCAATCTATTGTACATATTGAAGTGATTGTAAAGTTTCAAGGAGTACTAAAATATTGTGGTATTATGAATGTATTTAGAATATGAATAGCGAAAAACCGTCACCATATCGGAT